AACCAACAAACAACTCTACTCACACATGATGAATCTGAGTATCAAATCAATTGATAAGAGGGCAGCGCTCTCACCGCTATGCTGCCCATACTTTCCCCCCAAGCAACAATTGACCTGAAAATATTAGCAGCTCTGGATGTGACCTATTGAAATTTTCTTACCATATTATGTTTGACTAGAAAACAAATTGTTTCTCTAACACCAGATGAGATCATGTTTGATGTGAAGGATAAAAATATAGAGCARTTACTCTTGGGACGGCCATTAGGAAGAAGGTCAAGTGCAGGATGCTCTTCGTTCTTTTGAAAGGGTTCATTCTTCTTTGCAATCTGTTGAAGCAAAAATGAAAACTAATGATTTGCAAAAGTTCTACAGTGCGACTACATTGACCAAGGCCACCCTAACAAATTTCAAATCAAATTCCCAACTCACATTTTAACGATCGATGCATAACAGATGAATGAGTGAATTCTGGGTTTTAAACTGTTTCTTGTTCATTTCTGATCATACACACACTTGTATAAAGTATATATATTAATAATTCTAAAGAGGAAAATTTATACAGATTCTATTGTTTAAATACTCAATCACTTTGGGCTAATTTGTATGAAAACTTGTCTGGGTGGCCTTAGTCGGTGTCAGTCTCACAGTAAAATATGATTTGAAATCGTTAAAGKTCGGGAAAATCGTAAGAAGGGTTATGTTATTTCAAGAAAGTGGTTAGGGGTGTTATTGCATATCAAGGGGKTTGAGAACTACTGCAGAGTGATAAAAGAGGGGTTATGCAAATGTTGCTTCTACCATGAAGAGGGGCCCAGGGTAGGGTTATGATTGAAAAGCTTTCCATTGAATTTTGCCAACCCCTCCCCCTTTTGCTATAAAATAAAAGCCCCCTAATAATATACTACGAAAATCACTGAACTGTGTTGAATAGGGCTGAGTTTCTAATAACATTCTACCCACTTAATCACATGATTGCTACACACATTTTCATTAATAATTCCAAATATTCAATGTTCCTTTTTGATCACATACATGTGGAGTACTTGAAACCCATCACTAAATTTAAATGGGTGGAGCAAACATACAAAAGAGGGCGTCATTGTCATAAGAAAATTCTAGCTTGTTCCACATATACAGTTCAGTGATTCTTGTAGTACTTTAATTAGTTTTTGTTTAGGCCCTCAGGCCAAAACTGTATTGTATTCAGTTTGCAAATTCATAATATTTGTGAATGGTGTAAAAACGGCTGTCATTACGTCATCAAACACACAATGAAAAACCGCATTGATACACGAGGTAGTGGAAGTCAAAGCTAGAGTGCTTTCGTCAGTAGAGAGTTTTTAAGCCTAGTTTCATAACATAATAATAATAATCTTTAATACTTATTTAAGCGCATAATCTATCTATCTATACATATATATATATATACACTTGATTGCAGAAAGGTTGTAGTATACATTTATACATATATCTAATTTATTCAGTATATTTAATGATATGCAATACAGAAAACTTGCTTTATTTATTATTTGTTTCATTCAATGAATGTCAAAATATTTTATTCTTGTGTTTTACATCATACAGATTATAAATCAATTGGTTTTGAGGGTTAAAAAAGTAAAATTGCAATATGCATCTCATTAGGTATTCGTATAAATGTATACTACAACGTTTCTGCAATAGAGTGTATATAATCTTATGCGCTACAACATTTATGAAGGATATATRTAATCAACACGCACAAACAGAGGGGAGAGTCAACCATCTTAATGCTCAAAAAGTGCCACTTCGATTTTCAAGTGTGCATACTAAATGCCTGCGGCTTGATGAAAGAGCTAGTGCTATTTGAAGTAAATATGAACAAATATAGGAAGAAAATGCTTCCATGCATGAGACCATGCTGAGACCATGCATGCTTGTAAATACCCAACTGGTTTTCCTCCTTGCCAGTTGGGATTCTTAACACACTTTATGATAGCTTTAATCATTCATTTCAGTTTATTAATTGTAAGAGGGCCATAATGGAAACTACTGGGCTAACTGAGTAATGTACMCTCGTTAAACAAGGTTATATCATAAATTCCTCACCCCACACTAGCTACTTGACTCACATAACTCTCATCTAAGTTTCCTAACCATTCTAATAAATTAAACACACTCTCCTAAAACCATAATTACTGCACGAGAAGCAAAAATAAACAATTCTTGTTGGTAGCCCAAGTGTATTAAATAGTGAAAGCTAGGAGAATAGCTCTCTAAAAGTAGAGAACTTATTWAAAAAAATATAGCCGATTAAATGCACACGTTTGTTAGTTTTGCAAGTGTTTTCATGTAGTTTGATTGCATTTAGTACAATTTCCTAGTTCAGACAAAGCAACAGGCATGTAATGATCGAAAGGCTCAATGCATGTTGGAAGAAAGTCTACAACCATGTTGTGCACAAATAAGCTCAATACGTACCATTTTGTTGATCTCTTCTACTGCTTTACCAAAGTTAGTTGCTTGAAATCCAGTGTGTTTAAACGATTTCAGTAATGCATGATAATCCACACCTTTTCCAAAATCAAAGCCCTTAACAGTCTCAGCATTTTCTGGCATAGGATCACTCTTTGAYAACACAGATTCAATCGCTACAGATGGTGGAACAGACGCCATTATTGCTCAATTTTTCTTTTTGATCTTGAGGAGCCACGAGACCTGAAAAGCAAATACTTCTTGATCTTTAGTTTATGGTTCATTTACTTCTTATAAGCGTTAATTATTTAGTGCATAATTTTCCGCCATTTTTTAGCGACCGAAAGGGCTTACTGGGATACGGCAATCTGGCACTACCACAGGGAGCCCGGCTTGGTAAACTCGT